AAAAAAAAAAAATAACACAGACCACTTAATATTTGGAAGAGGTAAGACGTAAGTGTTTTTAAGGTATTCTGTGGCAAAATAAGGACTATGCTGGTCTGCTGCCAAAAATGTGACTCACAGACACATTCAGAACTATATTGCACATCTCAAGGTCACAGCATATATTTACCTTTCTGAACTTTGTCACAGAGAAGATAGATTTCTTCCCCTCCAGTCACACATCCCGCTGTCCTGTCCATTCTTACAATTTTCAAGTTGGATGCATTGGGAGCTTCTGTTCACAGGGGAAAAACAACAGAGATCAAGGTTTAAACCTCAGCTCCATAAGCCAGTCCCTTATGAGGGACCCTGCCCTTCGCACACATTACCAAAGCGAAGAGATGCTTCCGCTCATATTGCAGGATGAAACAAATAAAACAAGATAGGAAGATACAGATAAAATAAGAATAGCTAGCAAAGTCCTCAGCGCACTTCTTGGGCATGAGTCATTCACTGTTAGCAAAACAAATGAGGCAGAAAGGGACAGGTATTTTGTTTCTCTCTCAACACAGGAAGGGAGGCTGACACACAGTACAGAAAGAGAAAGAGTTTTTCTTTTCTCATTTTTGACACAGAGTCTTGCTTTGTTGCCCTAGGTAGAGTGCTGTGGTGTCATATCTCACAGCAACCTCAAACTCTTGGGTTCAAGCGACCCTCTTGGCTCAGCCTCCCGAGTAACTGGGACTACAGGTGCCTGCCAGAATTCCTGGCTGTATTTTTTAGAGATGGGGTCTTGTCCTTGCTCAGGCTGGTCTCAAAACATCTGAACTCAAGGGATCCACCCCCTCAGCCTCCCAGAATGCTAGGATTACCGGTGTGAGCCACCACACTGTCCCTGAGAAAGATTTTCCGATGTCTCATGGTACCAAGCCAATGGATTTCTGGGATTTCAATTAAGGTTAAGACTTTAACTCCAAACCTATTTACAGGATACAGCTGTATCATTTATGGGAGTCCTACAAAATTTGAGGAAAGAATGATTTTCTATACTAGTCATTAATTTTTATTCTAAAGAGAAGAAATACGGAGATGTTGTATTTCTTTTTCCCAACTATAATTAGGATTCTGTGTGGGGAAGAAGCAAAAGTTTCATGTGGTAATAGTATAAAGTTTCCTTTTCTAAAAAACCTTTTTTTTTTTGCTCTAGCCAGCTGCATTTTAAGGTGACCTGTGGTATATGAGTATGTATCATTTTATAACATTTTCACTTCCCTTTAAATCTGTTTAAATTAGAGAAATAATTATTTTACTTATAGCATGGATTTTTCTACTTAAATCAAATAGTATAAATTTTCAAAAAGCCTAAGTACCAGTAAATGCTATAGATCACTGTAAAGATTGTAAAAACTTTTGGAAACTATGGATTGAAATAGAATTTTGAAGTCGTATGTTATCGATACCACTCATTCAATTAACCTAAAGTTCGTGTCTTGATAAAGCTGGTAACATAGAGGAATGAAAATAATAATAAATTATAAATAAATAAAAATAATAAAATAAATAATAATTGTCTTTTACTAACTTCTCTTCAGAGTCCCAAAGAAAAATATTGAGATACTTTTCCCTTCTGAGAGTACCAATAATGTATCTTAAAAGCAATGTGTTCAACAAGGAGATTTGATATTGCATGTAAATTATGACTAGAAAATATATGTCCCTGGAAAGAGGATTGATTACATTCATTGAGCTCCTCTAAAAATATCTCACTTAATTTAGATATCAGCCTCTTAAGCTAGGTTTTAGTATTCATATCTGGGTGGTGAGACACTGAGGCTCAAAGTGACTAAGTTACTTCCCCCGGACTCAGAGCTAGTAAGTAAATGGTAGGGCAGGGTTGGAAGTCTATTCTTTTTGAGACAGAGTCTCCTTCTGTTACCCTGGGTAGAGTGCCATGGCCTCATCATAGTTCACAGCAACTTCAAACTCTTGGGCTTAAGAGATCCCCCTGCCTCAGCCTCTCAAGTACCTGGGACTATAGTTACCCATCACAATGCCTGGCTAGTTTTTCTGTTGTTAGTAGGGATGAGTTCTCACTCTTGGTCAGGGTGGTCTTGAACTCCTGAGCTCAAGCAATCTACCCACCTAGGCCTCTCAGAGTGCTGGGATCACTGGTGTGAGCTCCTTCCCCTGCTCTAGGAAGTCTAGGCTTAATGGTGTATACTCAGCTGCCCCCGTTAGAAGTCAAGTACTCACTGCTATCATAGATGGCGTCAGATACCACGGGTTCCAGGCGCCTGGTGAAGCTGCCAGTGCTGTCTGGAAGGAAAGCTGTAAACATGAGCCGCACCACACTCAGGTCCATCTCCTTTGTTTGCAGAAGAGCCGCCTGGCGGATGAGCTCCTTTTCCCGATCTAAGGCCGTCCAGCACGTTCCGTTCATGCCCAGGGAAAGTGGAAAATGTGAACATTTAAAATAGCATACTTTCAGAAGTATAAAAACTTATAGCAAAAACCCTTCTCTTTTGAAAGTCTTCACATTACTAGTAAAATGTTAAAAAACAATCTCATTTATGTCAGAGAAGACCTGCATTTTCTCTGGATTATGGCAAAAACTGTCTTGCATGTATCCCACCTCCTCTCTCCTCTCCTGTCCTCCCCCCACCTCTCCCTTTTCTCCCCACAATAAGAATTAGAGGCACAAAGGATGTTTGGAATGGGATGTAATAAGCCTAATAAGCACCAGCTGTATTGAGAAATGTAAACATTAATTGTTCTGAAAGCTCGTAGGGCACAGGGACTGTGCTCATTTCACAGTGCCAAGTGTAGAGCCTGGCACATAGTAGGTGTTCAAAAAGTACTTTTAAAGGAACTATACTACTTAATAACATGGAGGGAATAAGCCAAGTGGTAAGCACTACAAGAGAGCCAGAGACGACGCCAAGTGGAATGTCAGAGAGAGAGTACGCAGCAGAAGAGGTGTTTGTGCTACATCTTGAAAGGGTTGTAGAATCTGAATGTACTCATGTAAGAGAGTGGATATGGGTGTTCAGGAAGAGGAGACAGCAAGAAGAGAAAGAATGTGCCCGGCAGGGAAGTGAGAAACCACGATGCTCCTGCAGAGGGGTTTAGTTTGACATGAAGGGGCTTAGTGGGAAATAGAGTTGGAGATGCGCCCTGGGCCAGGTCTGGGGAGATCTACAATGCCAGCTTACAGAATTTGGATTTTGGCTCGGCGCCTATAGCTCAACTGGCTAAGGCGCCAGCCACG